GAAGGAATTGCTGATGTGTGGCGCTGATCCGATGAAAGAAAGTTCTTGCTGCGGTAAAGCGGTTGCCTTGCACGAGGCGGCGTATTTGACAACTCCGGAACTGGTAGAGGAATTCATTTTGAGAGGAACTGATCCGGATATCCGAAAGTCTGACATTTTAGACAGCGGTCCGATTCATCTGGCCTTCTATTCCAGACGCAACAAGCCTTTGTTGAAAGTGCTCGAAATTTTGCTGGAATTCGGCGTGAGCGTGAATTCGCGGGACAAAGTCGGTGATACTCCGCTGAGTTACGCGAGGAGATTCGGAAAAGGAGAGGAGATCGTGAATTTTCTGACCGCGAACGGCGCCCATGAATGAAGTTACGCGGTTCACTTGTGTAACTTGAGTTGTGTTTTCAACCATTTTTTTCATCAACAAAAAGATTTCTGCGCACGGACTTGGACTCATATTCGTATTAAAAATGTGATAACTGTCGGATTTAAAGCAAATCTTTCAGTTCATAAAAATACCCTCTGCTGATCGGATTCAGAATGCACTCTTTTTTTCTAATACGACACCACGAAGCAAAGCTCAGCTCGGAACAAATGCGAGGATAAAGTTTTACAGCCCATTCACTTGACTCGGAAGAAACTTATGCGAGAATTATCAGCGCTGCCCCGTGTAGTGCTTAGCATCAGGGACGTCATACCACGGATTCCCATCTTTCAAGAAACCATTGTCCGCAAAAATTCGACGAAGAAAGTGTGCGGATGATTTCATCGTCCGTCTGCGATTCTTATCCGCGAAGTCCACAGCGCACACTCCGAATTTTTCTCTGGTATAAAAAATAAAATACATGCTTAAGTCGAACCACGAAATCTCAATCAAACCTCCCCAAGTTCGAATGCCTCCCTATGTCAATTTGTTCAAGTCACTGTCTGGATTCCCCTATAGAAATAATGCATTAAACGCCTCCCGAAATCAAAGGCTCTCCCCTTGAACTTACAAGCATCAAATTTTCTGAAGGCCTTCTGGTACAGTATTATTTTATTAACATAGGAAAATGAAAAGCAGAAGTGAAGACTCTTTTGGCACATACAAACCCTTACCTCCAAGTTCAGCATCCTTTAAGTTAAGTAGGATGCAATTAAAGGTCCAGGAATATCACTAATTACAATTTTCTTCAATTCTTCATCTCCAATAAGAATGCTCAATTCTTCAACTGAAAACCTCCCTGGATCGAATTTTTTTGCTAATCCCTAGATGTTTTACTCAAGGAGGCTTGACTGTATTCACATGCAAATTGACAATAGTAAATACAAGTCCACTTACGAATACCCAACCGTCCACTCAAAAGAATCCATCAGACTCCACGCGTAGTATCCTTCAACCTTGCATCCATCCAACTTGATAGCTGTAAAATTTATGCACAGTATATACTCTCAGTGCTATGATACATAATTCATCGCTTATATAAATCCAATGTATATAAATCCAGCATTTGAATTTTCAGTCCGTCGATCAAACGAAATCAACAAAAATATTCTCACGATAGTAGAACCATCTAAATAATGAAATGCGATCAATGGCGTTTTCAATAATTACCGATGTTTTTACGTATACTGTACAGTACTTGTGTACTTGGATCATGCTTGAAAGTTGTAATCCTCGAATATTGTGAAACGAAGTCTAGTGAGTTAATGACAACAATGATGAACACATGTGACATGTGCATTATTAATACTGTAATACGTATTTTGTTCCGTATTACATAAATGCTACTTGATGCTTTGAGATCTAATCTAAAGACACTAATGTTTAATACGTACATGAGTAGACATATTTTCCGACAGTGAGTCAGAAATGGAGAAGTGTTTAAAAGAGGGTCAAAATACGAACCCTTCAAAACGTTGTTGATGAAGTGCTTGTAATAGTAAATCCTGTGCAAGTCATCCAGGTTTCCAGCAGTATCCGAAACTCCGTTTTCAGTTATATAAACTGGCAAGTTGCCGTATTCGTCTTTCACCCAGTTCAGAAGCATTCTCATTCCTGGAGGAACAGGTCTCAACCAAACAGATCCCGAGCTGAAAACGCAAAAGTACAACGACGATATGATATTAATAATAAGGTACTGTACTTTAAACATCAGCGGCATGTCAAGGGACTTGAAAAACGATAAATTTCCAGCAGTAAACCTTAGTTGATACAGAGAAAAAGAAACTCACTTTGGCCAAGTAGGATCATAATCAAGTTTAACATCTCTGTCTTCGGCACAACTGACAACTTCGTGGTTGCCAACGGCGTGTGAAACGACTTTCGACGTGTAGTGATTCAGTCCAATGAAGTCGGAAGAACCCAGCAACTGTTCTCGTTCTTCCCTCGTGAAAATAGGCAGTCGAGACTGTGGGAAACCTTGAAGTTTGCTTTTCTCACCTATCTGTTCGATCGAAAAAGGAGTACAGCAGTTTCGTATATTCAAGCAGCTGAAAGTAAACGTATACCAACCGTCTGCTGAAACTAAAAATCCCGCGCCTGGATTTTTCTTTAAATATGTACAGTACCTATGATATAGGTTTTATTCTATCATCGTGATGCTTTATTTTTTCCAGCGGCAAAAAGTGCACCCATCCAAGCATTTATTCGCCAATACACACGTTTTCAAACCTTCGAACAATTTTCTCATCAATTTTGAAACTACTGTATAGTACAGAATCACGAATGTATTTTTGTATGTGCGGAAACGGTACTTGAGCATAATTTAAATACTTTTAAGTACAGTATTTGAACATATGCAAAATGCGGACTTCTCCGCTGACTATTATAGCAGCTTTTAGAATGCTCCGCTTATTGTACTTCATCGTAAACACTCAATGATTCGCCTGCGAAATGTATTTTAACCCAGAAGATTTCCAGATAAA